ATTTATAAGCAAAATTTAGTGGTGGTGAGTTAAATGACTATTACCAGTTTATTTTCATAAGTTCGGGTGTTTGCAAATATACTCGAAAATTAGCTTAAATAGCAAAATACAGGTCTAGGGGTCCTTTTAGAAAAAGAAAAATTTTAAAGCAGCGTATTTTAAAATAAACGAAAACAAAAGTTAATTTTGAAAAGGATTAAAAATATATTATAAGCAAAGAAAATGTTTCTACAAACTTTTACAAACACCAACTAAATAAAAATTGACTTGACTTGAGAAACAGTTGCATAATTTGCAACCGGTAGGTAGCTCATGCAATTTTTGTACCATATTGGGTTAAATTGCCGACAATTTTTTTTTTTTTTTTTGTAATTAAGGGAGAGGGACTTTTTTGTTAGTTATTTTTGTGAGAGAGGGCTAATAAGGCATTCAAGAAAAATACATAAATTAATAATGAACATAAAAAAACGATACCGTAGAAATTGGTGATGCCGGCTACTAATTAATTTATTTTTTTATTGAAATAGTTTGTTACGAACATAATTTGATTGTTTCAGTGTGGTGGAAAGCGTGGGAGAAGGGGTGAAGGACATGGAAACCGGGGACCACGTGGTCCCCATTTTCAACGGCGAGTGCCAAAATTGCGGCTACTGCAAATCGGAGAAAAGGACGACAAATTTGTGCGAGAATTTTCGAGTAAATCCGATGAAGAGCACTATGTATAACGACGGCAAGTGCAGGTTTCGGACCAAGGATGGGAAACCTATTTACCATTTTCTCAACACTTCGACTTTTAGCGAGTACACGGTCGTTGACTCGGCGTGCCTCGTAAAGATTGACCGAAATGCCCCCCTCCAGCAAATGACTCTTCTCAGCTGTGGGGTTTCTACGGGTAATTTAATTACCGTTTTGAATTTTGATCACCTTACTCTCTAGCTTAACATAAGTCGTGATCAATTAAATAAGGGGTTAATTGCAATTTAGCACTTAGCAGTACACACCCTAATGTTTACTCTAGTTGTCATATTTGCCCTCATTATAACTCCTCAGTTATATATATCAAACATTAAATCTCATAGAGTAATTAATAGAGATACAATAGTTAGAAGGGCAATTTCGTCTTATTATCTATATTTTCTTAAATTCAATATGTGTGTATATATTTATTTATTAGCTTTCTTAATATTTTATGTGTGAAGACTGAAGAACAAATTATTAGCTTTCTTAATTTAATAAATTAAATAAAAATAAAAATAAAAATTGAGATGATTAAGAAAAAGATGGTGTTGGTGTTGATCAGGTCTTGGAGCGGTGTGGAATACGGCTGACGTGGAGGCTGGGGCAACTGTAGCTGTTTTTGGCCTCGGAGCTGTGGGACTTGCCGTAAGTTTTTTATTCATTCTGCATAATTTTATATTTTTATATATTTTATTATCAATGATTCAAGAATTATTATTAGAAAACAAAAGAACAATTATTTATGTAAAAAAAAAAAAAAAAAAAGCGAAATAATGTTGACAGCTGCAATTTGATTGAATTAATGTGAAGGTGGTTGAAGGGGCAAGAACCAGAGGAGCATCAAGAATTATTGGAGTTGACATTAATCCCGATAAAATTATTAAAGGTGTCAAATTAAATTAATTAATAAATAAACTCGACATTTAATTTAATTTAATTTATTATATTATTCATCAACTCGGAGTAATTAATTATCAATAAACTATGAAATTTTGTTTTAATAGGTAAAGCAATTGGGATCACGGACTTCATAAATCCCAAAGATTTGGACAAGCCACTGCACGAGGTCAGTAATTTTTTTCTTAATATTAAGTGAAACTAATCTCTTTTATAAAAATAAAAAATAAAATAAAAAATAAATAAATTGGACTTGGTTAAAGATATATTATATATTTTTTAATTATTAAGAAAATAATAAAAATGTGCAGAAAATAAGGGAAATGACAGAAGGAGGTGTGGATTATAGCTTCGAATGTGCTGGAAACTTGGAAGTTCTCCGTGAGTCCTTTTTATCCACCCATGATGTAAGTTCTCATTATTACCCCTATTATTTTATATAATTTTTACTTTAAATATATATTATATATTTTTTTTTAACGCATTCGACCCCGAGATTCAAATTTTTGTGGTATTATTGAAAAAAAATCCTTAACTATTAAAAGAGTTATAAGAATGTGCTTCAATAATTTGGTCAGGAGTATTACGAGGGACTTGATAGATACAGAAGAACACGACATTTTAATTAATAAATTAAAACTTAACGCTAACATTATCTTTTTCTTTAAAATATTTATTTTGCTAGAATATCGCATTATTAATCACCAGAATACGTGTTTATCAAATTCTGAGCATAATTGAGACTAATGTATTCTACATACGCTCGTTTTTTCTGGATTTGTGAAGTTTTTTTCTACAAAAATCACCTAAAAACTCTTCAATCTAATCTAGGTAGAAACCTACATTTTCCAATTTCAAGATGATCAATGGAGAAATTTTGAGTTTAGATAATTTTCCCAATTTAATTCTTAAAGTTAAAAAACCTAATTTATATTTACAAATTCAGCAACACTCAATGTAATTAAATATAAATATAATAAGAGTGAAATGTAGAATTTTTTTTAGAGCAATAAAATTAAAGAGATTGATAAATTAGTGGAATGTGAATAAAAGTTAAAATTAAGAAAAGTGGCATGTATTTACTAAAAGTCGTCATGTATTTATCATTTCAGATATTATTGTCGTGTGTGTATATATATATATATAAAATAATTAATTTACTATAAAATATATTGGAAACAGGGTTGGGGTTTGACAGTACTACTAGGGGTTCATCCAACACCAAGAATGCTACCTCTACACCCAATGGAGCTTTTTGATGGCAGAAAAATTGTTGCTTCTGTTTTTGGTGATTTCAAAGGCAAATCTCAATTGCCTCTTTTTGCCGATCAATGCGTCAAAGGGGTAATAATTATAAATAAAAAAAAAAAAAAAATTCACACCAAAATGAATTATATACTAAATATTAATACAATTTAATTTTTTTTTTTCAGATGGTAAAATTGGATGAATTTATCACACACGAGATGCCGTTTTCGAAGATCAACGAAGCTATGCAGTTACTTATTGATGGGAAATCTTTGAGATGCCTTCTTCACCTTTGAACATTTTATATAGTAATTTTATTTTTATTTAATAAATGCTAAGATTTGTTTGTTTGCTTTGTGTGATTAAAGAGATGGTTAGTTTGTACAAATATCACGAGTGTGAGGAAACTATAACAAGTTTATGCAATTTAATTCTTGAATATTCTAGTGATTAACAATAATCTTTGAACTATTATTTTTATATCAATTAAGAAAATTAAAAACATAAGCAACATAAGCGATGTGAATCGAAATAGGCAATATAATCAAGTATCTGAAGAAACAAATAAGGCTTTTTTTAAAAAAATAGAAATTCGACGGCGGTTAATGGTGATGGTGGTAAAATCGGGATCATTAGTCAAATTAGTTAATTAGTTAATTAGTCAAATTGAGGGTTGGATGAAATTTTTGGGATTTTTAAAATGTTTTAAAATAATGGAGGTCCTATTGCAATTTTCTCTAAGAAAAATCCCAAATTCAGCTATAATTCAACCGTTGACCGTCAAACAAACGGAGGGACTCGTTGTGTTCAAATATGGTAACATTTGAGTGTATTTTGTTGATGACGATTAATGAGGGGGACTAAAAGTGAAAAATGTGCCAACTTAAGGGACAAAAACTGCAATTATCCCTGTAATAAACTGTAAACCCATCGATAACTTTTTAAACATCATAGTTCTATCCAGATGCACACTAGGCATTGATAGTTTGATACATTAACAAAATAGGATCCAAATATACTTCTTACATAGATGAAGGTCAACTCTACAGGAAACACAAGTACTAGGTTAAAACATCTTTACAGAGAATATACCAGATTAACAAAATAAAGTTCTCCGAAAAGAAAGCATCTTTACATGGAATATACCACATCAACAAAGCAGCGACACATTAGATATACGAATCTCGATCAGTAAATACTACGTCAATGAGTTGAAGTACGAGGAGCTCTTGGTCGAACAGGCGTCTTTGATGGGCTTACCCTGAATATGCATATTAAATTAAAAGAAAACAAGGTTTCAATATAATCATTCTCTTCTATGATTTTCAGATATTACGAAAAAAAATTAAAGTAACACTTGATAGTTACCTCAAAAAGAAAATTAATAAATATATAAATAAACGAAAAAAGGTAATGAATTGGCAGACCTTATGGGAAGTGAACCCAAAACCACACCGCTACAATTGAGGGCAGCAATTGCACTATCAGCCTGCACAATTCGAATGGTAAGAGTTCAGCAAAATTGAATTCGAGCAATTAATGCGACATTGCTAAGTCTCGAAACTAATTTGAAGGATATTTCTTTTAGGACATGAGCAGATGCAAAAACCGAAGGACTATGACGAAGGAAGAATACGAAACACGCTAGTAAAGAGTGGCCTTAACATGGAAGTTACAAAGAATATAGCGAACGAGAAATAGCTAATACCATTGCAAATTCCACGAAAGCAATACGAGTAGAATGGTAATAATCTCCAAGCAGCCTCAAACGGTAAACCTTAATCAATACAATCAGTTGTAATAAATTAAAGTTGTTGGTTGGATAGATAAGAACGAACGAAAAAAATATAGTTGTACAAACATGTACCTCTCCACAAATAGTTTGAAAAAAGAGTCTGACATCTGCTTGAGAAACCTATGCAAAAGAAAAAAACGAGACGAATAATAACTCATTCAGTTAACTTTCGTGTTCATTACAAGGGATTGATTTCAAGAGAATATTGTAATACCTTCTTGTCAATATTTGTGACGTAAACTGTTCTAGCGCACATCTCACGTTCATCTTCAGTCTGATGTTGACACGTAAAACCAGAACCGAAAAATTTGTAGGAAAAAAATCAGACAAGTTTCTAGTATGTGTAATAAAACCATTACAGAGTAGAATTGGCAAGTTATAACACACCTGAGGCAAAAGGGTGGGGTTAACAGGTGCGATTGCAGTCTTGGATGGAAGCACCTTCACAGGGTAATATCCGAGCATTGTTCCTGACAGATTCAGTGATGCTCGTGCAGCTTCTGTGAAACATAAAGATTTATTTAATACCCCGAAATAAAAAAATTAAATAAAAAATG